GTTTTGTAATCGATCTATGAGTATGTCATGATCTATAGTGTCGAACGCAGCACTAAGATCAAGTAAAACTAGCAATGAGATACAGCCTTGGTCTGACGCAAGAAGCAAGGCATTTGTAATTTTAACAAGTGTTTATTAGTTTTTGTTCTTTTTCAATATTACTATTTACATTTTTATTCCATTTTTTATTTATAATTTATTCTATTTTTATTTGAGGTTTAGTTGTCAGTTTTAGTTTTTTTTAGTGTGTCTGTGTGTGTGTTTGTGTTTGTTTGTTTGGTGTGTCTGTGTGTGTGTGTGTGTGTGTGTGTGTGCAGGAACACAAACCCCAGAGACGCTCCTGTGAGTGTGTGTGTTTGTGTTTGTGTTTGTGTGTGTATGTGTTTGTGTTTGTGTTTGTGTGTGTGTACACCCGTCAGCGCGGTTCCTCATCACATTAATGAATAGAGTTTATATAGCGGCAGCCGTGAATAAGACGCAGATATACAGGTGCATCTCAATAAATTAGAATGTCGTGGAAAAGTTCATTTATTTCAGTAATTCAACTCAAATTGTGAAACTCGTGTATTAAATAAATTCAATGCACACAGACTGAAGTAGTTTAAGTCTTTGGTTCTTTTAATTGTGATTATTGGTCTTATGGAGTATTCTAATTTGTTGAGATAGTGAGTTGGTGGGTTTTTGTTAAATGTGAGCCAAAATCATCACAATTAAAAGAACCAAAGACTTAAACTACTTCAGTCTGTGTGCATTGAATTTATTTAACACACGAGTTTCACAATTTGAGTTGAATTACTGAAATAAATGAACTTTTCCACGACATTCTAATTTATTGAGATGCACCTGTAATTCCTCTATACACTGACCTCAATCTGGAGACAAAGCCTTTTAAAACGCCCACGGCCTGATCCACACATAATCAGCTGTTTACCGCTGCAAAAACACTGTTTACCCTGGTACCGCTGCTCATTTACTCTGTCAGTCACGGCTGTTACGATAATCTGTGTTTTCTGATGCTGTTCTGAAGGTCAGGGAGTTAAACAAGTGGAAGAATACTAGTAGTGAATGTGTGTTTTTCCACATCAGTTAAACTCTCTACAGCGAGTCCTCGGGACATTTGCCTCCGGTTCATTCTGAGTGGAGATATTTCATTTATTACATAATGATATTTGCACACACCACATTAACCTCATCTCAGCGCGTCACCTCAGACCTTAAATCATCTCATCTAGATGGTAAAAAGGTGAGATGTAATGAGCGGTGTGATATTTAACATGAGCTCATGCCGTGTGCTGTGGATGCAGACACATTTAATGAGCTGCTTCTGATGTTTTAATGCTCATGGATTAGTTTCAGTTAAATGCTCTGAATATCAGCAGTGGCTCAGACATTTACCTGATGAACAGATTTAATTGTTTCCTCTTTAAACAATCGTTCAGTGTCGTGGCTTTTGAAACGCATCTTCACACAAAGTTTCCTGTGAGGGGTAGGTTTAGGGGTAGGGTTGGTGTAGGACAATAGAATATACGGTCTGTACAGTATAAAAACCATTACGCCTATGGGATGTCCCCACTTTTCACAAAAACAAACCTGTGTGTGTTACTCTGTGTACGTGTGTGTGTGTGTGTGTGTGTGTGTGTGAGAATATTCACGCGTCTCAGTCTCACGCAGGAATCATCTTATTTACATGCGATCGACTGCAGGATTGTGCCAGTGAAGCTCTAACACGTCTAATTGTCAGGAGTGACGTCTCATGAAATTCAAATGTGTAATGCCTGCGTGAGATTTGTTCCGCTGGCGATTCGCTCCGAGCAACCTGTGAGGAAAAGAGCCATTAAAAACAGAGCTCTTCTGAAATGGAATGGATTTTAATAGTATTTGGACACTTACAAATGATTGTTAGATACAGAATATCACAGCAAGTGTCATTTATTGTAAAGAAGAAGCATAAACACACTTAAACATTTGATAAAAGGTCATCACTTCATGTGATTCATCAGATCAAGTGTCTGTATTTTCAGGATCTTTGCTCTCGGTGTTTTGCTGGTTTTAGTGCATGTCAGTTCTGCTCAACTTCACACAGGTGTAGAGAATCACATTAACTAGCAACATGATCCACTAACTAACCACAAACACACACAGTACTGACCGTCTTCAGCTTCAACATCTATTGATTTAGCAGTTCAAACACATCATGTTTTGCTTCTGTTTGATATTTTTCTTTGATATTTTGCTGTGATATTTTCTCTAATACTCCAGGATGTACGTGAGCGGTTTTATAAAATAGAATAACGACGATTTCTCAAGGGTATGGTACAGTAGACGCATGAAAGAGATGCTTTAAAACATCAAACAGACTGTGAGGAAGAGCGTCTCCTGAGAGGAACGATGAGAGTGAAGTTAAAAAGAGAGAAGCACCCCTCAGATCTTCCCAGCCAGACGCGTCACGGCGTTTTGTCATCTCAGAGAGAGACTCCTTCAGAAGATCCAGAGCGCTTCGTATACAGCCCACAGAAGAGGAATATGTAGCCACGAATATTCAAAATGATAGGAGACTCGGAGTCCATTAAACACTGTAAAATCTCGACCCATACTATCCATGCGGTCCGTGTGTGTGTTAATGTGTCCGTACTCCCCTGTGGCTGTAACACACTTCTGCCTCGTCTAATGGATTAGCTTTTATGAGTTTGCAACAGTTGTAAAACATTGGATTTATTTGCCTCAGTGGAAATATAGCAGCACCTGTGTGTATTTTAAATGGCTGTTCTGCTGAGAATTTTGTGGCTTGTGGTGTTTGGATGGGAATGGGAATGTAACCTAATTTATCAGCCGTTGAATAGATTAAGACATCTGATGTGCTAACATTATTTGGCATTTCTCAATACAATAGTGCAGCGGGCAGCGCTCCCACAGGACACATCGCAGCTTTATCCATGAGTTTAAATGAATGCACATTATTTGTCTCCTTTAGATAATAAGACAGTAGTTTTATCTCTCTCTGTACTGCAGATTAATCCTGATTTTAAGCATGCATCGACATGCACATTGCTGCTTAAGGGAAGGTTCACACAGAACACGTTTTTACTTGTGAAATGGGTGAAAAATGCAAGGTCTCAAGACACATTTTTTTAAAAGTTGAACTCATTTTAACTTAAGTTTTCAGAATGCCATTTCATGCACAAGATGCTGCAGAAGATGCCAGACGTGAATGCAATAGTCAAACATATCCATCTAGTGCGTGTTTGCATAGAACAAACTATGGAAATGTAGTGCAATGGACTGGAAAAACGCATTCTGTGTGAACGGCCCTCGAAGTTCAGTTTTGCATTCGAGATGCACAGGTGAACTCTTTTAATAACGTGTTGCAAAACTCTTGTTTGCAGGGGTGATCCGTGAGACGTACCACCGAGACCGCGATCAGATGGTTCCCGTCACGCTCCTGGCCATCGCCGTCATCCTCGCCTTCGTCATGGGCGGCATCTTCTCCGGCATCGTGGTCTACTGCGTGTGCGACCACCACCGCCGGCGGGACTTCGAGCTGCCCGGCCGCAAAGACAAGGACTCGGTCCAGTCCCGACGGGGCTCCATGAACAGCGTCACCAAGCTGACGGGGCTCTTCGAGACACAAGCCAAGGACGGACGGACAGAAGCCATTCTGACCCCGCTCATGCACAACGGCCGCTTGGCCAACGGCAAGATGCTCATCAAAGCTGACCAGCACTTGGATCTGACCGCTCTGCCCACGCCCGAATCCACGCCTATGCAGCCGCGACGCAAACCCAGCCGAGGCAGCCGCGAGTGGGAGCGCAACCAGAACCTGATCAACGCCTGCACCAAAGACTTGCCCTCCATGGGCTCTGTGGTCATCCCGACGGATTTGCCTCTGCGGGCGTCTCCGGGCCACATCCCAAGCGTGGTGGTGCTGCCTTTGCCCCAACACCAGCATGAGTATGTAGAGCAACCGCACCGCGGAGAGCTCGCCATTGACCAGGCCGCCACGCTGGAGTACAAGTCCCTCAAGAGCCCAAGCTTGGCGGATGGCGAGAGAGCGCCTCCAAGAGTCCCCCAGCGAGAGGCATCTCTGAGCGCCGTGATCCCGCCGGCCGTCCCGCAGATGGGCAAGAGGCTGGATGTGCATTCGTCCGTATACAGCCGCGGCTATCCCATGAGCTCGGGCCTCAAGAAACAGCACAACACCAACTCGTCCAACTCATCCCACATGTCCAGGAACCACAGTTTCCGGTTGGAGACGCCTCCTCCGCCCGCTCCGCAGCGGGTGGACTCCATGCACGTCACCTCTCCGCCGCCGATCCTCGGTCTGTCGCGCCATCCCAGCCTGAGCTCATACGGCTCTCTCTCCAGGCATCTCAAGCCTGACGTCCCTCCTAAACCGAATCTGGTGTCCCTTTCCACAAAAGCCAAGTCCGGGGACTCCTGCACATAATCGATCGCTGCGGAATCAAAGACGGGGAACGTGAAAGTGCGTCTGCTTTGTGCAGCTGTGTACAGGAAATGCAACTCACTTTTTTGTTTTGTTTTGTATATTTTATAATACATGTCGAGCTCAGGCTGATGAGGGCGAACATCTGGGGCAACTCTTGGAGATTTCGTCCGGTGGCAGCATGGTTGCCGATGGTCATTTTCTGCCAAAAGCACTTCGGAGACGGGCGCAGAAGCTACGAGAGACGCCCCGGTTATCAAGCACTTGGACACACAGCGAGTTCAGACGGGAACAGCTGCTGGAGTTTACTTTGGGAAAACTGTGAAAAACCGCCGCCTGTCTCAGTGTTACTGTTACTGGACAAAGCAATCGAGTTCTGCCTTCGTGCAAGAGTTCAACACGTCTACTGAAACTGTTGACTAAATAACACGTGACTGTTAATACTAATAGCAGGTTGTATTTATTTTTTAATAAAGTGCTTTTGCAGAAAGAGCGTCTCTTTTAGGCTCAAATGAGACGGGAGCGATCTTTTTAATTTGAATTAATCAAGTGTGAAATTATTTAAAGTCATTAAACTGGAGCCAGCAGCACTTCTGTCCACTAACTCTTCGGACGTTGCTAAGCAAAGTCAGAGGCGAGGGAAGCCTCCGTATGGAAGGAACAATTCTCGAGCTGTGCCAGAGGGGCTTGTGGGTAGAGCTTACAGGCCACAGACAGGAACTCCTGAATCTCACCTCTTCATCATCACCTCCTGAAATCCGCCGCTCCATCCGAGTGCCATTCTCGCCACACTTAAGACGCTTTCAATCGTACGGTTTTCTTGTCCCATCCACACACACGACCCTTTCGTCGAATCATTTCAGCCTGTTTTTCTCCTTCCACCTGTAAATTTGTGCCTTACACCCCTGAGTAGTGAAGCGTTTGTTAGCTGTTAACTGTCGTGGTTCTTATGATGACGTTTGTTTCCCTCGTTTGATTAAAAAAAGAAACAAAAAAAACACGTAAGTGAAGAATGTAGGTGTTGTTGTTGTCGACTCTGGTCCCTTTGCTAACCATAAATGTGACCCTGCACCACAAAACCAGTCATAATGGTCAATTTTTCGAAATTGAGATCTGAATAAATAATCTTTCCATTGATGTATGGTTTGTTAGGATAGGACAATATTTGAAAATCTGGAATCTGAGGGTGCAAAAAAATCTAAATATTGAGAAAATCATCTTTAAAGTTGTCCAAATGAAGTTCTTAGCAATGCATATTACTAATCAAAAATTAAGTTTTGATATATTTACGGTAGGAAATTTACTAAATATCTTCATGGAACATGATCTTTACTTAATATCCTAATGATTTTTGGCATAAAAGAAAAATGTATAATTTTGACCCATACAATGTATTGTTGGCTATTGCTACAAATATACCCCAGCGACTTAACACTGCTTTTGTGCTGCAGGGTCACATATGGCTTTGTGCTTGATTTCTGATTGTGCCAATGAATCGTCGGAGTCGGCCCTCTCGTCGTGCTGGAAGAATGTTTGATTTTGTTTTCATTTGTCCTTTTTTACTTTTCATGAAGTCAAGATGATGCTTTACACTGTTTGTAGATGACTTGTTGTGTATCTGTGGATCGGGCTGCTTCGAGGCAATAAGACAAAAACACAGGAACGAACCAGATATGACGTTTCTCCCAAACACACACACACAAGCTTTCTAATGTACACAATCAAACAGTTTTTAGGCAGTGAATACAGGCTGGCTCCTGTGTAGATATGCACTCCAATAATATTAGGAAACAGATTCATGTTTTCAATGTTTGTGACAGATTCCGATTAATATAATTTTCTAGCTCTATGGTTGTGATGTAATATGAGGGATTGTTATTGAACTATTTTGACACACGTTTTATTGAACTTGACGTCCAGGAATCTAGTTTTGGCTTTGTAGATGTTGAATTCACCCAGCTCTCGGAGTTTATCCGCAGCGAACGGAGCTCGAGGTTCTTGTGCTGGTGCCTTTCTAGACGCCTCTAGACTTTGGAAGTGGAGTTTGTACTCTTGTATGATATGGTTTTGTCACCGGCCCTCTCCCACATCTGATTCACAGCTAAATGTATGTTGTAAAGAAATCCTCTTTAATAAATGGAAAAAAGTAATAAAAACATTTCAGATTCTTGTCGCAGAGCTTGTGTTTTGTGAAACGTGAGACGGACGTCTTCACGCTACGATGAGCGCTTCAGGGGGTTTGGCACCTCTGCAGCAAAGACTCGATTGTTGAGGATCTGAAACCGTGAATAAACATGCCGATAAGAATCGCTCTGGAGCCCCGAGTGGCCGTTCCAGACGCCCGTCTTCAGACACGATGACAGATTAAATGTTTCTGGGGCATTGAAGGTCTCAGGTGTCCTGTTCCTTTGTCTCAACATGCTATGTTTGCTCAAGGCTCTTGTCTTCACTGTTAGTCCATACGATATACACAACAGTAACTCGGTTACTAACTACCCGCTTTGTGTTCCGCAAACAGAGACTGAAACAGCCGAGAGCCACACAATGGCTTTGACCTCCAGAACCTCGGCTCTGTCAAATTCAATTGTTTACACGTGCGATGCAGATCTGATTCACCGTCTGTAATCCTCTGATATCTGCTAATGACCGTCACCATGTGCCATTTCTGCCGCTGTTAGACTCATTTCTCTCGTGTAGGTGAAAAAACCAGCCGTTTAATTGACGTCAGCTGCGAGCGGATGATCTAGCTGATAACTAAAGCTGGAGTCTAGAGTGAAACCTCGCAGAAGATCCTGAATAAATCTCATTTACTTCCTTTTGAACCCGTCACAGCGAGGATGAGTCAGTGCCTCGTAATAAATCACATTCATAACCCGTGACATTTCACTCTCAAGATGTTTCAGCGCAATAAAACTCAGGTTTTAGATAGGCTACATGTTCCAAATGGAAGCTACAGGCACAACATTGTGTTTTCATGCACTGCTCAGTTTTTGGAGTTTCGCTTCCATATCAAGTCTCTTCTTTCAGACGAGCGGAAATAAAACATCCAAAACACACATTTAAGTGTTTATTTTATTGCACTTTATTTATTTGTGTCTGTAGAATTCAGTCTTTACTAAATATTGAGAAAATCATCTTTAAAGTTGTTCAAATGAAGTTCTTAGCAATGCATATTACTAATCAAACATTAAGTTTTGATATATTTACGGTAGGAAATTTACTAAATATCTTCATGGAACATGATCTTTACTTAATATCCTAATGATTTTTGGCATAAAAGAAAAATGTATAATTTTGACCCATACAATGTATTGTTGGCTATTGCTACAAATATACCCCAGCGACTTAACACTGCTTTTGTGCTGCAGGGTCACATATGGCTTTGTGCTTGATTTCTGATTGTGCCAATGAATCGTCGGAGTCGGCCCTCTCGTCGTGCTGGAAGAATGTTTGATTTTGTTTTCCTTTGTCCTTTTTTACTTTTCACAAAGTCAAGATGATGTTTTACACTGTTTGTAGATGACTTGTTGTGTATCTGTGGATCGGGCTGCTTCGAGGCAATAAGACAAAAACACAGGAACGAACCAGATATGACGTTTCTCCCAAACACACACACACAAGCTTTCTAATGTACACCATCAAACAGTTTTTAGGCAGTGAATACAGGCTGGCTCCTGTGTAGATATGCACTCCAATAATATTAGGAAACAGATTCATGTTTTCAATGTTTGTGACAGATTCCGATTAATATAATTTTCTAGCTCTATGGTTGTGATGTAATATGAGGGATTGTTATTGAACTATTTTGACACACGTTTTATTGAACTTGACGTCCAGGAATCTAGTTTTGGCTTTGTAGATGTTGAATTCACCCAGCTCTCGGAGTTTATCCGCAGCGAACGGAGCTCGAGGTTCTTGTGCTGGTGCCTTTCTAGACGCCTCTAGACTTTGGAAGTGGAGTTTGTACTCTTGTATGATATGGTTTTGTCACCGGCCCTCTCCCACATCTGATTCACAGCTAAATGTATGTTGTAAAGAAATCCTCTTTAATAAATGGAAAAAAGTAATAAAAACATTTCAGATTCTTGTCGCAGAGCTTGTGTTTTGTGAAACGTGAGACGGACGTCTTCACGCTACGATGAGCGCTTCAGGGGGTTTGGCACCTCTGCAGCAAAGACTCGATTGTTGAGGATCTGAAACCGTGAATAAACATGCCGATAAGAATCGCTCTGGAGCCCCGAGTGGCCCTTCCAGACGCCCGTCTTCAGACGTGATGACAGAAGGTCTCTGTGCCTTTGTCTCAACATGCTGTTTGCTCAAGGCTCTTGTCTTCACTGTTAGTCCATACGATATACACAACAGTAACTCGGTTACTAACTACCCGCTTTGTGTTCCGCAAACAGAGACTGAAACAGCCGAGAGCCACACAATGGCTTTGACCTCCAGAACCTCGGCTCTGTCAAATTCAATTGTTTACACGTGCGATGCAGATCTGATTCACCGTCTGTAATCCTCTGATATCTGCTAATGACCGTCACCATGTGCCATTTCTGCCGCTGTCAGACTCATTTCTCTCGTGTAGGTGAAAAAACCAGCCGTTTAATTGACGTCAGCTGCGAGCGGATGATCTAGCTGATAACTAAAGCTGGAGTCTAGAGTGAAACCTCGCAGAAGATCCTGAATAAATCTCATTTACTTCCTTTTGAACCCGTCACAGCGAGGATGAGTCAGTGCCTCGTAATAAATCACATTCATAACCCGTGACATTTCACTCTCAAGATGTTTCAGCGCAATAAAACTCAGGTTTTAGATAGGCTACATGTTCCAAATGGAAGCTACAGGCACAACATTGTGTTTTCATGCACTGCTCAGTTTTTGGAGTTTCGCTTCCATATCAAGTCTCTTCTTTCAGACGAGCGGAAATAAAACATCCAAAACACACATTTAAGTGTTTATTTTATTGCACTTTATTTATTTGTGTCTGTAGAATTCAGTCTTTAAAGAGTTTTTTCTCTTACAGTTTTATTCCTCTCTATATTCTGAAGGTTTGTTCATATTTCATTCACACTGATTTATACAACATTTTACTCCTGAAAACATGGTGAAAATGTGTTTGTTTTCTGTGTGTTGACAGTATTTTCTGATTTATGGAGTGATAAAAAGAGAAATCCAGAATCCCCGCTGGAAAAACTGGCACCAAAATGAAAGAGTTTTGAACCTGGCTTTATCCAATGTTCAGATATTTATGTGCTTGGTTATGTATGCAAATTATTATTGCAGAATTTTCATTTATGCATTTGGCAGATGCTTTTATCCAAAGCAACTCGCATTGCATTAAAGTTATACATTTCATCAGTAAATGCATTCCCTGGGAATCAAACCCATGACCTTGCCACTGCTTGCACTATAATCTAGGGATTAGGGCTGGGTAAAAAATATCGGTATCTCAATATTAATCGATTCTCATTTTTATGGAACGATATCGATTCTTAAATCCCATGAATCGATTAGTCTAGCTTGTTTTCAAGTAAATGGACGGAACATTGAAGCGCACTTCCCATCCAATATATCGCAATAAGCATTGTGC